GTAATTAAAACATCAAAATCGAACACTGGCTCCATATAAACACGTAATAGGTCTTCGTTACACGCGGTCACCGGGTTTTTTCCCCCGAAATACTCGGTTCGCCTCGATACACTTCGGTGCATTCAATCAATTCGACGCAGTTCGTTTGTAATTCTGTAGGCTAACAGACGAGCCTCGATACACCCCGCTAGTGCAATTAATCAGTATCCTTGAAACGGCTTTCTCTCTCTTCCTCTCGAATGTATATTTCGGTCTTTCACTCTCTCTTCCTTTCATTCTTCTACCTCTACGCTTCTTTCTCTTTTTTTCTCTTTCAACCTACAAGCAGCAGGCGTCGAGCGTGCGCTTAACCACCTGTACTTCGAGTCGATGTTTCATACGCAGACGACCCCTTTCTCGACTCGTTTCCTTGAACCCTGGTATATCAGTCATATCGCTAATTGGAATTCGCTCGTGCGATCTACGTAATGTCTCGCGCGGCATACCAGCAATTAAATATGCGTTTAAGGCGCGAACCGTCAGCTATGCCAGGCTTTTACATTAGAAGGAAAGTTTCCGATTTTTTTTTCTCTGTCTTTTTTATGTTGACGGAAGATGCCACTCGTTGCTTATTTAATGTATATATATATATGTCTCGAAAAATTAAATTTAATTAAATATCAATAAAAGTTTTTTTCAAACATCGGAATAAAATAAATGTTTCTACAAATATGATTATAATATCTCCGCAATGTTATTTATTATCTATTACTTATTCTTTATTTAGAATGAGAAAATTTTTTCTTTTTACATCTTCTTTTGTCGTACTTTAAACTTAACTTTCAGTTTAAAAAGATTTAATTTGCGTGAAGAGTAAAAGAAGTTAGCGCAAGTTTAACGCTTTATCATCACGAATGTCGTTGTCATTGGATTTGCATGGAATTATTATAAAAGGAGATTTGTTCGAACGTATTCTTCTTAAACGCAATTATAAGCAATAAATTACATAATGGTTCGATAACATATTTCCATTAGCATAAGAGACTAATGTGTGTGCACCGAGGTATAAAGATATAACTCATTATATACATACATATGTATATATTTTTATATATTACACACACGCACACGCACATACACATTTTTCTTCACAAGAGAGGCAGGATGCGATACATATACCTCATGAATCTCATGATGCGCGTGTCACGCAGAATAGGTTTCCGCGCTGATGCTTTTTAATTGGCGCGGATGTCATTGCGATTATATGAAAATAAAATGCTCATTACAAGCACAGATTTCCATTAGTTGGAACTGTTTGCAATGAATGTTTACTAGAGCTTGAATAATATGATGATGTAAACATATGTGTCCGATGTTTTATGTATTTTATGCTTACTTTTTCACAGCGTTGATAATTTATATCCATGACATTTTACAACTGCCGTGGGATATATTAATGTTTTATCAATGTTGCAATAAAATCGATAAGTGGAAATTTGCAAAATAAAACCGATATAACAAGGCGAAGTTTTTCTTTGCTTAAATTACATTACAAATTGAAAGATAAATCTTCTTGAATAAATAACATAACTGCGGCTTGATATTGAAAAAGAATTGAATGTTACATGTTATGATTATGAAAAAATGAAAAATCTATATTGTAATGTTACATATCACTCATTGTTATAACATTAAACCTTATATGAAAATATCAGATTAAATACAAAATGTAAAAATATCCGTTAATTTTACTTTATAGACACATTCAAGCGCAGACATATATGCAATACTTTTGTATTGTTAGATAAATTGAATTATATTGTTTATGTAGCTATAATACATTGGAAATTCGTTGGAAATTTATGGCAATTTTATGCTAATAGAGACAAACTGAAACTCGTAAAGCTGTGATTTGTAGTTATATGTTTACCTTAACAAATTTAAATTTGCGTTGAATGATTTTTTATTCTAACGCGTTCTCTCGCAAAATGTCACGAACGCTCGTGCCTCGGACTAATCCGCTGATCAATCCGATCACGGTACTCCGGCCGTCACGTAAGTGCATGTGCTGTAAGTACTCAACGTGCACAAGTATTCACCATCTGCACGTGCATCTCGAAATCAACCGGGAAACGAACCTGAAACTGTGGTGGTGCGGTCGCGGCGGTGGCGCACGCGCTACCAGATAGCGGGAGACGAGGGATGGTTTATCTCCCTGGCGCCATAAACGTTGCAGATATTATGGATAGTGGACTGAGTTACGGGCCAATATTTCTTCGTAATTATTCTACGCTCCTACGTAACGGGAGAGATAGCATCGCGGAGAGGAGCCAGGTATAAGGGCGCTTACGCCGCGCCACCGCCTTCCTCCCGGATCCTCGTCGGGCCATCCTCCCTTTGCGCCACGTCCGAATTTAGATCCTGTTTTTTACTACCACCCTCGTACGTGATATCGGATTTTTTCCACGACCCGCGATCAGCGTAGTCGATTTATCGGTGTCGTTTGTATATGCTTTACCGACGGCCTCGTCTCGTGCATTGTTTTATCCGCTCCGTCGTCATCGATCGGAGAAAAAACGGAAAAAATGAGAAGCGTAAATCTGTTTTAAAGAAGTTTGTTTCGATTTTCGAATATTGTGCAACATTGACAACTTGTAATTATCACAATTACAGCAATTCGAAAATAATGTTCTGTGATATACATATATATCTATTCATTAAAATCGTGCGATCATTTTGCACAATGATTTATGCAGTTTTTTACATGTAAGACGTTCTGCGCATATATTAAATCCAAAGTGATTTGATGGCTCTATGAAAAAATATTGAGAATTGGAGCAACTATCGAAGAATAACTAACATTTGTATGCGAAGAGTCTCAACGGCACTTATCGCCATTCCTTAGAAAGATTTTTCGACGATGTTTCCGCCAAGCGTTCATTCGTAATGAAAGTCGTAAATGAGGGGAAAAGAATACTCCAGGATAATGAAGGCTATAGATAGCAAGGAGTTTGCGCGTAATTGTTCGCAAAAGTGTTTTTCTTTTCTTCGGGAATCGACCGGCGAAGGAGGTTCGCCGAAGTTAATTCCTCATTATTTCGCTACCTTTGGCGACGATTAACGAGGCGCCCCGTAGGACTAAAATTGCTACAGAAGGCCGGCGATTAGATTCAAAATACTCCCTGGAAGATCTACGTATTATTCTTCTAACGACAAGTTACGGAGTCTTGTGCGCAACAGAGTGTTTCTTCAATTTCTGCGCAATCGTCTAAATGATATCTTACCTTCAATCTCGGCTTTGGAATCATACGAATCTGACGGTCGAATTTTATCATTAAAGTTTTTTAAGGGGAAAATTACGTGATTTTTAAAAATAAAATTAAAGAAAATTATGGACACACCAACTTATAATTTATAATTAATTATATTATTTATAATTAATATTGCAATATAGTAAGCAATATATTAAATAATATTATTAAATATCCATTCTCACAGAAAATTAATCTTCAGAAGTAAATTGCAAACTACGTAAATTTTCCCTTTAACGTTTGTTTCATCTACATGACTTTTAAACACGATTACATGCTTTTTCTTCGTAATGTTTGTTTGTTTGTACGCGCAATCAAGTTTTCCGCGTTTATACTTTTCACCTGCCCGTTCTAGAAATAGCTTTGTTCAAACCTCTATCCAATTATATTCTCATTAATTAAACTCGATTACGTTATCAATTTTAGTTGATTGGCTGATTGCGAATGCCACATCTGATGACGAGTGTTTTAAAAGTCGGGAAAAATTTGTTTTTGTCTGATTATCTGAATATAGCTCGTTATTGTAACGGAGCGTTTACCACCGATTACGTGCGCATCGAACTCCGAGCTTCTCGTATCTGCAACATGAAATTGTAGCAACAATAACGCTACGAGTTAGCCGGCGTTGTTATCAATGAAAAGACGCTTTCCAAAACGACAACGTATAACTTTTGTTCGTTCCGCACTATTGTATCGGGTTATTACCAATCGATGGAACAATAGAATAATCTGAATTAATGAAAGTATTTTTGAATGTGGATAATTATTTTGTGATCGCAATTTTGAATTTATTTGCTGAACAAATTTTCTCGAGTAAATTGCCTGATTTTTAATTATAGACAATAGAGCGGCCGGATTTTTTCAGATTACTTATATTTCGTGCAGTATGGTAAAATACACGACTACTGCAATCGTTCAATTAAAAAACTTTTCAGAGGAGTAAAAATTATTTAGATAAATGCCGGCCGAGCGTTTTAGGTAAATATATAGATTACTTTGCGAGAATGATCGCGTTTACATTCAATTCATGGATTTGTTATTTTTGTTTTATTTTTTAGTGCCCAACGCACGCAAACGAAGTCGTTCCGCGAAGTTTGGCTCAAAAGATTCGATTGCATGCGGTGCGGGCTATTTTTTCCGTGTTGAGCTTTTCCAAAATGAAATACTATGGCCAAGTTTAATTGGAAATATTCGATCGCGTTTGTATTAGCACACACCGCCACGGAAATATAACATAAAATGCTATTATAAATTTTATCTTGAAAAACACATTTAACTCCTTCGGGATTTCGGCTAAACATTATCTGTTTGTTAATACGTAATTACAAGTTTATAGTACGCACGATATTCTTATACCGTATACTGCAATGAGGTAATTAATGGGAAATTACATATTACATTTGGCGGATGTTTCTCGCAGTAATGTGAATAAAATCAGCACACATTTACACACAAGTATAGCTACCATTCTCTGATACGCGTGTTATTATATTTATATTACTATAATAAATACAAAATTGATCGAAACTGTTTCAATAATTCGAATTAGAGAACGGCTGATTTATTCTACTAAAAAGATCTTGTTACATATTGAGAGAGAAACACGCATACTAGAATATGTATATTTTTATTTTTACGTTTTACAATTTATTTAATACGTGTAAATATCATTGAACGTTGTGTTCAAATTATATATATTTGTGCTTTCAGGATGGTCCGCATGATCGGCGATGAATTCCTCACGGAGGAGCGGGACCGAAAGTACTACGCCGATCACTACACATGCTGCCCACCACCTCTCTTCATCATCCTCATCACCCTCGTGGAGGTGAGTAGATCGAGTTATCCTACCTCGTAACGAGCACGCGGCATACGCCGGATAATACGCGTGCTTATCTGCATGCTTTTTGCTCTTCGATCCTCACGTTCTCGATCGTGATTATAATACAATTTTTTACGAGATTATTTATGCGCACAAATTTAAACGACGACTACTACAATTATTAATCGCTTATTAATCGCGTTTATTAATACGTGCCATTTTTTTTTACCTTTAGCCTTTCATTAGTTTTTGGATAATTTGTTGCTGCCACGTCTGTTATAGTTGCTGAGGTTTCGGATACTGAAGTTTATAATTTATAACGAGCTTAGAGATACCTACTTTCCGTTTAGCCTGCAAATTTCTGTATGTTGTACTTACGTCTGCTTTGCAGATATAGCGAGCATTTTAATTAAAAATACGTACGTGACGAGATTTATATAGCATTCACGCGAATCTTTACGTTACTTTCGCAATTTTGCGAACCTTCTTTTCTCATTTGTATATTACCTACGCTTTTAATTGCTTGGTGTGCATTAATTGCGACAATCTTCATTTCTCTAACGTTCCAGCGTAGATTCTCATTTCTTATGTACGTACATACGTTTACGATATCGTATTACATGTTCAAAGATTACAGTTTGCCCGGAGGGAGCAGTCTAATATTCTTTGTGGTCAAAGAGTTAACCGCGCCTGTAAAAGAGTCATGCACGCACGCTCGCCGTGCGCGTCGTCGTTCCCCATTATTTTCTACATTTTCGCCTAGATGAATAAGTGAAATAATCGTCTCTCGTCTGTAATGAACGCGCCAGATATTTACGCACATTACCTTTTCCCTTTGATCCCCTGACTAATATCCGTTTTGAGACCGTCTTATCTGTTTCTTGTTTTTTTTTCGTCCCCGCGCGTACTAATGATCATTCTTTCACCCTCTTTTTCTCTCTTTTTTTCCCCTTGTGACACGCGCGGCGTGAAGATCTTCGGGACAGATTTATTCTGCCGACCGACCTCGTTAGGCGGCGATTTTAATCTTCCGTAAAGTAATTCGATACTCGTAAGCCACCCTCGTTAAAAGCGCTCTCCGATACGGGCGAACATCTTGATGCGCAATAATGCTAATTAAAATTGCGACAGGTTATTATGTCATAGCTTGGGCGTCCGATGGTGTGCTGTTATAAATATTGATTTAATAGAGATACGCGGTAGCATCAAAGGACGGCCGGTACGCGCGCACACGTATATCGGGTCATTATAATAAAAGCGCACTCACGTGCGAATCTCTCCTCTAAATTATTTTTGTTAGATTCTGCAGGCCATCAGGAATATAATGAATACACATAATTACTCCACTCTCATATTATGACCTGGCGCACGGTAAAATTTTAATGAAAACTGTATTATAGAAACGTTTATATTGAGCGTTTCGGCAGCATGGGAAATGAAGCGTTTGTATTTTTAAATGAGCTCGATACGCTTCGAAACTCGTTGCGCAATTTTATTACGACGAGCTCGATAACTGTGAGCTTCGAATGTTTAGAGCGTGCACCGATTTATCACTCTTCGACATCCCCTATTCTCGATCTTTTTCTTATCAGTGCGTATGATAAAATATGCGATAATTTACGCAAATTACGAATGCAACACGACAGCTTTTTTATGACACGCAATATCACCGTTCCTCCATCCTTTTTTTTGTCTTGTCATCCGTCTTAGCGGAACGAACGGGAAGACAACGTAATTGTCTTCTATAATGAGCGACTAGTGCGGGACTTGCAAAGTCGCATGACAATGTTCCTTTGAGCATCGAGAACGTGCAACCGTGTTTAATAAATTTTTAATGATCACGGTTTGTGCATAATTTACGCGTGGACTGCAGCGCGCGACGTTGACCGCGAACGCACGGACAGCGTTCTCGAAATTCAGATCTGAAGCTCACAATACCATTATTAATATCTCGGGCCGGAATTACGCGCTCTAACTCGCGTATGTTCGTGGTCAGCAATATATTCGTCGTTATAATAATAAAATTAACTCGACCGTAACTAATGCCGAGTTGGACGAGTGAAATGCGAGAGAAAAAAATACAATAAAAAATTTTTTCGTATTGCCTTGTGTAATTTTCACAGGGCATGATTTAGAATTAAAAAAAAAAACACACAAGCTGAATCGTGTATATAATGCTGACGAATGGGTTTTATGACGACTGTCGAGCTAATTTTTTTAATTACGTTATATTATATTATATTATATTAAAAAAATACAAATTTGAAACTCTATTTATCTTTAATTAAAATAAAGAGAAATTGAATGTCTTTTGTAACTAACGAAAATGAAGAGAAGTTTATATATTTATAAATAATTTATGAAAAATATGCTAACTATAAAAGATATTTAATATTGGAAATTGCAAAATTGTAACGAACGACGAGCGCGATCAGTTACTCATGAATTAAAGCTACAGACTAATTAAGTCGGGTTTCAGCCGGCGCGCGGTCTATTTTTCTTAATCGCTCATCGTTTCTTGATACATCGATCGCGCGTGATCGGAGCGCAAGCGTATCTGGTTTGATTGCTCGGTGCGCGAATACTCGCGATCGAAGTGCGCTCGTTAATTAAATCTCCAAGTACCTCCACGGTGTAAACTGCGATCGCGGAAGTGACATGTGCGACCACCGGGATAAGATGCGCGTCCTGGGGTGTGGTATAAGTGTTCGCGACGTACGACGTGAAAGAGTAAATTGGTATCAGTAAGTCCTCTAAAAGGGTACTTAATTGCTACTGCTCAGTCGTCATATTTTATGATTTAATTTTAATTAAATCGCAAGTATCGCGCTTCTTTTTAGCTCTGTTAAAAGGTTGCGCATTCGTAATTTCATCCGGAGGCTAAAATTGGATTTTAACTCGCAGTAAGCAAAATGCAAATGAATTAAGAACAAAGAGAAAAAGAAGACTTCGCGACATTGCCAATGAGTAAATTGAGTTTGTTTAGATATGGAGATATTTATATAATTTTTAAATATGTTACCTGTTTTTAGGCGCTCTTTTTTTATTAATTTCTTTGAAGTCTCGCTTTTGCGAGCTATCCTGTCATATTGCACGAAGTCAGGGAGGAAAAATCATTCCTTTCGTTTGCTCGCAGTTCGCTATGAACTTTGTGATTCGCCAGTCAAAGCATTTTTCGTTAATTAAATTCCCAGGTATTTCGTGTCGTAAGCATTGATGCTGGTGATATACCCGGATTGCCGCGAACGAGACGCATGCTTTGTCGTTGGAAATTGCAATCAAGGAAAATTCGTAATTTTAGATAACTTAAGATAATTTATTCTCCGCAACTATATATACACGCATAAAGTAATAGTGAAGTTCAATGATGTTACGGGAATCCACGACGGTATAATAATGCTAAACATCTCGCCTTTTCAGGACGAATTAAAGACGTAATAAATATTAATTAGATCGCGACGTAATAATGAAATTCCAATTTATGACACGCGCGATTACAGGATGCGTCTATTAACTTCATTCGAAATTCCTTTATACTTATATCAGATTATTATTATTTCAACGTATAAAATTAAATAAAAAATGCAAATAACATCGAATGACTTTATCTATATGCATGGTACGCGTACATCAGCTGCGACTGTAGTTTATTTGTCAAGGAATTCTGCGCTAATTAAATCTGCAAGTATCGTAAGTGCAGCGTGGAAAGCGATCCCGGAAGCGTCGAACCACGCACTGCTACCGGATGGTTGCGCCGTATACCGGCACGCGGGATAAAGCGTCCGCCTCGCTATCTCGTCCGCCGCGATGTGTACAGGAGGGGGACGAGAAGCTGTAATTTTAAACGGCTCACGGTTAATACTCATTAGCGACTGGGTTAATACATGAATTACATGATTCACGCACACTAGAGATTGTCACATTCGGCTCGATTCTAATTATAATTTATCGCTCGTACGCGATCTTCCCACCTGACTTCCGCCTCGCGCGTACCCGTAAAAGCTCGCGTCACTCGCGATGGTGCGCACGTACCTATACGTATTGGCCAGCGACGTGAATGTGCGTGGACTTTTGAAACATAATTCGCGATTGTACGTTTTATTTTATACTATTTGATATAGCATTATTACACATTAGTACTTTACATCTTTTTCATTAGATGCTTTCTACGTTTTCTCTTTACCAGGTGAATTTGAGCGACATATTGAAGATTTGTTGTTTATGGCTCATTTGTACAGTTTCGCCTTTAGTTTATCGTGATCCGGAATCTGGTTCTATTAAAATCGAATTTGAAAAAGATCAATTTCATGATACACGCTAATTTCTATGCAATATAAAGCTTATGTTTTATTCTTTCTCTTTAAAATTGCGATAATTTTCTAATTTTCTAGCAAATACTATGAAAACTGGTCGATAGTAATGTACATATAGGTGTAACTTGTCCAAGCGGTATACGTATATGTATGCATGCGTTGGTAATACATTCCGGCTTCTTGCGTAGATTACAAGCGACGATTTAACCCTAGAATCCATGATACATTTTTTTGACCTTCTAATCCATGACTGGGGGCAATATCGACCCCACGCTTTATTTGATCGTAAAACCGGTCCTACAGAAATAAAGGGCCTTTAAACCTACATGAATTTCTTCGTTTTTTAATAACGAAGAGAATGGTATACGGTAAATTTAATTTTACTCAAGTTTAGTTAGTGAAAAATCCATTTAAAGACTGAAAAACGCAGAAAATCAGCAAAAACCTCTTTTTTTAAACAAAAATTTGTATCTTTTTTTGTAATCAACCGATTTTAAAATTTCAAACGGGGTTTTAAAGAGGACACATTAGACTATTAGAAAAAAATTGTCATCGCTATGTTCTGTTCAAAAAGTATATTTATTTGGGACTATAAAGATGAAGAAATTCGCAAAGTTGAAATACGGAAAAAGTCGATGAAAAAACCATAAAAAATTGTATTTTAAGTATTATTTCATTTTTATTTGATACAAA